TGTGTGTGTCTATGTCAAAGTTATTCTTATGCACATCTATTTTTATTTATTTTCAAACTCTGTATGATTCCATTCAGTTTGGTATTATATTGTATACAGTGTACATATTACGTAGAGCCGTTTCCTTGGTTTGAGCGGTCTATGGTTTTAGTCTTTAAAAGAGGGTGGGTGTGGAAATTTGTTCCCCCCCCCCCCCCCCCCCTCTGTGCAAAATTAATGATGCTGTGGATTGCAACCTGTAAGTTTTACAGTGCACATCAACTTTATAATAAGTTACCAAAGTTGGAACTGGTACATTTTTTTTATATACGCACGAATAGTAACTTTGAGACTAAATTTGCATAAAATCTGACTGTCCATACATTTAGCAGTAATTTATTGTTTCCATTGTTGCAATGCCAAATGAAATAATAATTATAGCTTGCAGTAAAATCTTAGGATTTTTGTTTTTCTACAGGGTGTCTACTGTCTAAAAAGAATATGCAACAATATTTTTATTGGATACATTTTAAAGTTTTAAACGGTACTCATCCATTCATTTGTTGGCAGTGCTGTGTTAGTATTATCTAAATACCATTTGTGTACAAGGAACAATACTACCCACAAACTTAGTTAGGATTGTTTTTGCTAGACGTATCACATTTCAAATGTTAAAGATAGCATGTTGCATGCATCAGTGCACAAGAATACTGTGGCTTCTACATTTTAAAACAAACTTTCAATTTAAGTCACTCTTATTTCTTGGAAACAATACCATCATTGATTTGAAAGAAAATAATATACTTATTCATGCAGCTCTTCAAATATTTATTTCAAGTTAAGCAACAACTACCAAACATTGATTTTATATCATCCATTTCAGCAGATCTGCATGAACATGTATTAACAATACCTACATGTAGTTTTTGTATTGTATATTATTATGCAGATTCATATGAGTAGAAATGTATATGTCTTGGCAGCTCCTGATTCAATTATATCCTCTCTCTCTCTCTCTCTCTTTCTACCTTTTTATCCCTCTTTTCCCTCTTTTTCCCCTTTTTTTTACTTTCAATCACTCTAGCTACCTCTCTCTTCCCTTTTTGATCGCAGGAAGTTGCAATATTGTTATTATGTCACTGTAATAGTTCTGTATAAATGCAACTTTACATGTGTATACTTATACTTAATTGTAACTATTGCTCTTACCCAAACTACAGTCTTCTTTGGAGCAAACTGTCAGACATTTGCGGTAGTATACAGCTGAAATGGAATTTCCGTTCAACCAAACAGTATACTTCAAGGCTATTTCTCAGCGACGAGGGTTAGCTCCAGGTAGCAGTAGCAGGTACATGTAACAATATCTTAAAAACATTTACTTACCTGTAAGTCCTTTTCATGTGAAGATGATTCAAAGTACAACTATATTTATTATTGTATAAAATGACCTGCTTTCATAAAGTCCTCTTGTGAAATCTTATGAATTTGAGTCCAATCCCCCCCCCCCCCCACCCCTTCCTGTTTTTCTGGCTTCTATGTATTCTTTGAGCCAGCCCTTTGACGTATGCTTAGATCTTTTAGTTGCAAATTTAGAAATTGCTTTCTTCAGTCAGCAACATAATGCATGATTCACATAGATTAGGGATATGTACCGGTAACCCATAAGATATAAGAACAAATTGCGATAATGAAATGAAGTGTGGAAGAGAGGATCTGAGCTAGAAGACTATAAGGAGAATGCAGCCAAGGCTAAGCAGCAGGAACCAGTTTGGCTTCACTCAAGACACAATATAGTTTTTGCACAGACAGATGATTGGCTAAATATCAAGTCTTTCACAATTGCGTTATAAGACAATGAGTGGATTTTCACTAAGAGATCTCAGATAAGCTGAGCTGTTAAATACTGGGTCTTTCCTTGCAGAGTAATAAGGGAGCAAGAGAAAGACCATCACCATGTATACACGTAGCAGAAACACAAAGCAAATAAATTTGAGACATTTTATGATTAATTATGTAGGAAGCCAAATCTAATTTCAAACGTCACTTGTCATCTTTTATGTGATAGATCTACAATTATCATAACAGTAATGTTTGTAGCCTTAAAAAGAAATTGCAAGAGGAATGTCAATAAATAAAGTCTACACCATTCACAAGATGCTAATTTGCATTTAACACCATTCCAACAACTTTCAAATCAACTCCGGCAATTATGTTCTGATTCTATAATACATCTTTGTAAATACATCTTTGTAATGTTTGCAAGTTTCAGAAGATGAACCCTGCAAGGCCATCAAAATTACGACAAGAGTTCCATATGTACACGTAACCACCACTAAAATTGAAGGAAAAAATATGGGTATGCTGGGTTAGGATTAGGATGAGAGTGAGGGTAGGCTATACAGCTGTGCATCGATTTTAGTGGGGTTATATATATGGAACTCTTTCCGAAATTGCCTGTAGTTGATTTTTTTCCTTTCTCTTTAGGTAGTTGCAGACATGTTGTTTTGGTCATTGAGTTTTTTGTCTGTAGTTTTTCTGCTTTTCTCAAAACCATCATTATATCAAGGTAGACTTCCCCTTTGATAACCAAGTTTCATCAGTGTGTGTAGTGAACATTCCCTCTTTTTCCAATACACTTTCGCAATATAATTAAATAGTTATAGATTAATTGTAATGCATCTTTGCAAGTTCATATTTTCATGTTTTCATGATTTGATTTATAACTGTTTTAATGCTAACCCTGATGAAACAGTACTGTAATTATTATGTACCTACATGTAATATACACTCACCATAAACTTTATCATATTCAGGAGGATATCCTGCAAATCTATGATCATGGTTCTATTAAACTATACAATTTTCAATTAAACCTCCTTTACAGAAAGGGGAAATCAACAAGTGGCACCATTCATGTTTTTTTTATAACTTATATGTGTAGATAGAAAAAATGCCTCACAAGGCTTTTCAAGATGATGTGGTCATTACCTCTTAATAGATTATATGTCAAAGTGGTTACAGTATGAGAGAACCTTTTCCACGTATGTAGGAGGATAGCCTTTAGATATATATTTAAAATTGAATTTCCAATCATTCTCTCTATAGATAAATGTACAGTATATAAAGAATGATATCTAGGGACTTGATAATGACATGTTCGATAATAATCAGTTTGTGTTCTTAATTAGATGCATTCATTCATTCCTAAAAGAAAGGCTTTGGAGCATACATGAATTTAAAAAAGAAGTCTATCCCACTTTATTTGTTACATGGAGGTTAAAGAATTGATATGATTTTAAATTTTTTATTAGAGACCTTTTGTAAAACCCTGATAGAATCAATTTTGATTTGTTTACGCGATTGTTGTATTTTTACCATTCACGCTATCATTCTTTCTTTTTCTATGCAGGCTGGAAGTAACACACATGTGCAGTGTTTCAGTCGAAAACGAATACCACCCATTCAAAATCGGTTATAGGATCTTGTCCATATGTCCATATTTTTGTATGCATGTGAAACATGGACCATGACAGCAGACATTAAAAGAAGGATACAGGCACTGGAGATGAAATGTTTCCGCAAACTCCTCAGTATCTGGTATAGAGATCACATAACCAACGAGGTAGTGAAAATCAGAATTGGAAACACCATAGGGCCGTATGAAGACCTCCTGACTTCAGTGAAAAGATGCAAAGTAAAGTGGTATGGGTATGTCACATGATCATTTGGACTGGCCAAGACTATTCTACATGGAACAGTACAAGGAGGGAGACGAAAAGGCAGGCAGAGGAAACGATGGGAAGACAACATTAACGAGTGACCTTGACTGAAACATCATACTTCGTAAAGCCAAGAACCACGAGGAGTGGAGGAAGCTGGTAGTATAAATCTTCAGTGGTGCCCCAAGGGTCAGCCAGACTGTGGGATAGGTGAAGGTGAAGGTGAAGGAAGCTAAGAATCAGATAGTTAGACATTATATTGGATCATTTATCCTTTCCTTCAAAAGGAATGTTGCTTTATACTGTAGCACATAAACAATGCTTTTTAATTGGCAATATTTCAGTTCAGTACGCTTGTTATTAATTTCATCAAACATTAAAATGTAAAAGGGAGAAACACTGTCATTTGAAAATCAAAATGTAAGTCATAAAAATTTCACTGTCTAACTATCTGAATCTTGTCAGGATCCATGTACGAGTTAGTGCAATTCTTTTCTCTTCACTACAACCGCATTGATTTACTTTAATAGCATGTTACTAGGTACATCAATTGATGAGAAAAAGCAGCAAAACGCTTTAAATTTGTTGTAGTCTTAAAATTAAAGTTGGAAGTTTCCTAAAAAGGGAATTTTAGAACACTCCTTCAACTGACATGCACGGATGTTATACTTATGAATTTCCATACATTAATGTCTTTGTAATGCATGTTACCAAACAAAAAAAAGTATCATCAACCATTCTTGTCATTTCCTGTGCAATTATTTTCACATCCTGGCTTAACAGTACATAAACAGTGCTCTTTTATTTTCAATATTTCAGAAAAATGCATTTGCATTATGATACATGCAGGTATAGTTGGTCAAGTAAGAATATATTTACAGCATGCTCACTATGAATTGATTAAATCGCCATTGAATCTAAAAGGTATGTTATACCTCATTGTATATTCAGAAGGAAAAAGTGTGAGGATAGCTTTAAAAAAAAAAAAAATCATGAGTATCCATAATGATGTGAATATGTACATGTTTGTTTGTTGCATATGATTCTTCCTTGGTATCAAAGCTGTAATAATTGCATATTTATGATTCAGCATAATACTTTGTTCATTACAAAAAAAAATATGTCATAATTTTCCAAAACGGTAGTGTAAAGAATAATGTAAGATTGAGGTAAGATTGTTACATATATTCTCTATACGTATCAACTAAAATGTAAGTTTTCAAATGAGATACTATTTTGTCCCCAGATGAAATAAGTAATGGATCTTTTTTGTTAAATGTCAGCAAATGATCTAAATGAACATGTGTTCGGGTATATCAAATCTTGTACATGTAGTTTCTATAGCTAATATAGTTTGGAGGACTTAAAGATAGAAAAACTGCTGATTGATTAATTACCATTGTTTGTATTGTTCACTATAACCAGCAAGTAAAGGGACATTTAGTAGATGCCAAGAAAGTATTTCCAAAGCAATTACATTTCTCTTATCCTGTAATGTATTTTTTGCGTCAATAAAAGCAAATGTGAGGGTTGTCCACATAACATCACAACTACAGAACAGTTTAATTGAAATTAACATACATATTACATGTATATATGTGTATTATGGAATAACTTAGAATATTTCATATTTGTTATTATTATCCAGTTCATTACATTTTTACCAATGTATTTCTTCAATATTTCTACTTTTCCTCAGAGCATATGCTGTGAACTAATGGATATTCCTTGTCAGTTCCATCATGTTATGTCAATGGGCTTACACTGTATGCGTGTACATGTCCTTTTTGCAATGTACATGTGCTACGAAAATGTCAACAATATTGTTTGAGATATAAAATATAGAGTTAACAAGTGAATTATTCATACTCCTTGTAAATGTGATTTTTGGGGATGCATTTTTTTGTAACTTAAGAATGAAAGGTTGACTGGGTGAATTAGGGCCCTTTTAGAAATAAATGTACATGTAGTTGTAACGTTTTCAAATGGATGAAAGTTTTACGGTGTAATTGTTGAAATCAAGAATTTTAAATTCTGTTTTCATGTTCTCACAATAGTTGTGTTAAAATTACAATAAGAAAGTTAAAACTTGTAAAAATATGCCACCTTGAAAATGGACTAGACTGAATAATTTTGAATTTGTAATATCTATGACAATTATCAACTGCTTCAAATTATGAACCACAGCATTAAGGGTGGTTTGCAGTGGAACTTACATGATTTGCATATTTAATATCAAAATTTAAACTGTAAGCTAACTTTGGCAGACAACACCGAATTCATTGAAAACTTTACTGTGAATAGATGAAGATGATGATGATAATAGTGACGATGTGGTGGTGATGATGATGATGATGGATGTGGGATAATGATGGTAGTAGTGGGGATAATGATGGTAGTAGTGGGGATAATGATGGTAGTAGTGGGGATAATGATGGTAGTAGTGACGACGACGATGATGATGGTGGTGATGATGGTATAGTAATGATGATGGTGGTGGTAATGGTGGTAGTAGTGATGATGATGATAATGATGGTAGTAATGATGGTGGTGATGATGGTGATAATGAAAGTTGTAATGCTGGTGGTGATGATTGTAGTAGTGATGATGATGGTGATGATGATGTAGTAGTAGTGGTGATGATGATGGTAGTAGTGGTGATGATGATGGTAGTAGTGACGACGATGATGATGGTAGTGATGATAGTATAGTAGTGATGATGGTGGTAGTAGTGATGATAATGATGGTAGTAATGATGGTGGTGATAATGATGATAGTGATCGTAGTAGTGGTGATGATGATGGTAGTAGTGATGATGGTGGTGGTGAAAATGATGGTAGTAGTGATGATGATGGCACCAAGGGTGATGGTGATGATACATGTATAATAATGATATTTATACAATAATATTAAAGCATGTACTAATAATATCCCACTCCTTAAAGCAATTTCCTTTATCAAAAACAAGTAAACTTATACCTTTTAATTGTGCATTTTAAATTCAAATGTTTTGTATGACTAAATCGAAATAAGTACATGTAACTACAGAAAAAAATAAACCTTGTCGTGCAATTCAACAGGGAGAGTCATCATTGTCATCACCAATGTCATCATCACCCCTCCCCTCTTCTCTCTCTCTCTCTCTCTCCCTCCCCCCCTCTCTCTCTCTCTCTCTCTCTCTCCCAAGGCGGTATAAATCACATGAAGATAAATGTTTGTCACATTTTAACAATAAGTTGATCGGCATTGATGACCAAATAATAATCACCATAGTTGTTCAAGCAATCAATGTACGAGAAATTTTGTGAAAAAATAGCTTAATATTCAGGTGGCTTAGTGAAATTACCGTTACTTGCCAGATCAAAAGCACCATTTTTGGTATAGTGCTTCCTTAGGACCTACTGAACGATAGTAGGGTAGGAGCCTCGGCAAAAATATCATTTAAGGGTGTGGGCGGGGGCGTCGCCTCGTAGACCACATAAAATTCATAAGGTATTATAACATTGAGATTTGTAGTACAGTCATCCTTTTTGGTACAGGGCTTCATTAGGACCTGCTGAATCAGTGGTGGATCCAGGGAGTGGGGCCGGGGAGCCCGAACCCCCCCCCTCCCCCTTGAGGTGAAAATTTTTAAATTTTCGACACTCCACCCCCCCCCCCCCCCCCACTGAGCGAATTTTCGGCCGGCGCGATTTTCTAATTTTGGGGAGCAAAACAAATTTAAAAAATAGTGCTCACTACCCCCCCCCCCCCCTGGATCCGCGCCTGTGCTGAATGATGGTAGGGTAGAAGCCCCCGGCATAATTATTCATATATGTGCGATTGGGGGCCCCATGGGTTTCACAAAAACCCAATGTTATATTATCTTATAAAATATTTGGGGGCTACGAGGCGACGCCCCCACCCACACCCTTATATGATATTTTTGCCGGGGCTCCTTCCCTAATATAGTTCAGAAGGTCCTAAGGGAGCCCTGTACCAAAAAGGCATTTGTACAGCAACAAATCAATGTTGTAAAATTATTTGGGGGCTCCAAAAAGACGCTCCCGCCCCCACACCCTTTAATCGATTTTGTTGCCGGGGGCTCTTAGCCTAATATCGTTTAGTAAGTCCTAACGAAGCCCTGTACCAAAAATTGTGCTTTTATCCAGCAAATAACGATAGTCAATAAATTGACTATATTCGGGTATAGCGGCGACTAAATAGCTTTGTAAAAACTTCTTCCTTTCATTTTGTTGTTGTCTTTTCTTGTTCTTTCTTTTCTACACTTTACAATGAATATGTCAAATAACGCTTCAAATAGTAAATGAGCCTGAAGAAAGAGACTATGAGCCACTTGCGTAGTTCAATTTCTTTATTTGCGTCGATTGCAAAAGAGTCAATAGAGGGCTTTTTCCACTTTAAACAACGGTACGTAGTCTCATAATTCTGTCGCTGTAAAATTGGAAGTAAAATATCCGAAGTAACTGAGACAAACCCCTATTTTTTTTCTTCAAATTTATCTTTAATTTTGTTTTGCAGATGAAAAATTTCGGGATGGGTCGCATATCATGATTGTTGAATAATAACAACACTCTCTATCATGATATTTCAAAGTGCATGTGTATTTACGTTTTTAATACCAATGGTTTAAAAAAAGGGTACTTTTCCGCTTTTTCTTGTTAGTGTCATAAACTTATCAATTGGCTTCATTTAAAAGAATTTTTTTAACAGTTTTTGTTTGTTGCATGATGCCTAATCTGCAAATTATTCATCAGGATAATCTTCCATTTAAAGAAAATATTTGTTCTTCTTGTTTTGACATTTGATCGATGGTCGTCTAATCGGACATATACAAAAGGAGCGGGGGTTCATTAATTTTATTAATAACATCAGCTAAAACGGCCTATAGGGCTTAACTGCAGAATTATCCACCATCCATGATAATGAATTAGGGTTAGGATTAGGGTCAGTGACAGGGGCTGGGTTAGAAGTAGGGTTAAGCTAGGATTGGGGTAAGGTTAAGTGTTATGACAAGGGTTAGGGGTATGACTAGGGTTAGGGCAATTTTAGGACTACGGTTGAGGTTACAATTAGTGTTGCTCTGTTCAACCCATGCAGCTCATTTTGGATTACCTAGAAATCCTTTTTTTAAGCAGGTTAAATTTAAGATTAAATAATTTGAAAATATTAATACATTGAGGATTGCCGTCTTTATCCAATTTTGTTTCCCTGATTATCAAAATTAACTATTTTTCAATCAAAATGCAATTGTTGATGAAAAATTCAAAAAAATATCCATACTGCCCCCCCCCCCCCCGTAACACGCATCCAACACAAATTATCCCCCCTTCTGAATTTGATCGCCGTAAAGTCGATCGATCGACACAAATAAGGAAGTGGCGGGTAGCATTTTATTTAAAACATCAGGCAAACTGCAGAATAATCCACCATCAATAATAATGATTTTAGGGTTGAGGTTATGGTCAGGGAGAGGGTTGTTACTGGGGTGAGGTTCAGGGTTTAGAGTTAGGGTTAGGACAAGGGTTAGGACTAGGGTAAGGTTACGGGTTAGATCTAGGGTTAAGGATTATATCTAGGTTTAGGACTAGGGTTAATGTTACAATTAGTGTTACAAATTGGTTTACGTTCAACCCGTTCAGCTCGTTTCGGATGATTTATAAATTCAGTTTTTAAATAGGTTCAGCAAGGATGAATTAATTTGCAAATAGTAATCAATGAAGATTGACCGATCTTGTTTCCCCGATTATCAAAATTAACCATCTTTAATTAAATCTATCATCTTTACTTAAATCTAATTGCAACTTTTAATAAAAAAAAAGCATACCCACCGTGCCCCCCGTTAATACACATCCAAGCCCATCCAAGCTCATCCAAGACACATAAACGGACACCAATCCCCCCCCCCCCCGAGGCCAACTAGCTATAATGACCATTATTCATAAAGACCGCTATTTATTAGGACCATTATTATAAGAACCGCTATTTATAATTTGAGAAAAGGGTAATTATTCATAAGGATAGCTAATCTTAATCGAAGAGTGTCGATATTTATCATTTGAGAAGAGAGTAGCTATTCATAAAACAGAATGAAGGTCGCTCTTTATAATGCGGAATGGGGGTCGCTATTCATAAAAAAAAAATGAATAAGCAACAAAATGACAAGAGAGTTAATTGTTGGCTAGGAGCACCCCTATGGCTGTGGCGTATTTATTATGGAAAGCAACGCTTTTTTCGGATTATGAATATCGACCCTCTTCTCATATTATGAATAGCGACCCTCATTCTGCATTAATTATAAATAGTGCCCCTAAATTTATCTTATGAATAGCGGTCCTAGTGACCCCCAATATAAATTATGAAAAGCGACCCTCATCTCACATTATGAATAACGGTCCTCATGCTTTTATCAATAGTTACCGCCTTCGTGTTTTATATATGCAGTTCGACGTTATGAATAGCGAGATTACCCCCACACCCTCTGGTGTTGAAGATTGGAGGCCTAACCAAATATTGAAAGGGGAAAAGACGGGGGAAAGGGAAAAAT